ATCGATTTATAACTCTTATATTTTTATAAATTATAAACAAAGGTATTTTTAATTATATTTATATTTAATCCTATTATTAAAAAATTATAGTTACTTATTTGTTGATTATAATGAATATTTTTTGCTTTGAATATTAAATATAGGTACTTTAATTTTATATTTATGTCTATGAGTATCTATATGATTAACATCTATAATTTTATATAAGTCTTATAATAATAAAAAAAAATATTATCTACAAAAAAAAATGTATTTAATTAACAATATTCATTAAAGGATGTTTTTTTGATGAACTTGTATACAAATAAATATTTAATACAATGCATAYATGTCTTGAATTTAGATCTCTTATTTTTCAACGTATTATGATAAAAAAAAAAATGTAATACATGCTAACATAACATATAACAAAAACAAAAATTCAAAAACATGAACAAGAATTAAAATAAACAGTTGAACAAGTTTTTATAACCATAGTAAGTATATATTATAATAATTTATATATATATATAAGTTAAGATAAGGTAAGTAAATTTGATTTGCATTTTCAAAAAAACAATTCTAAGAAACTACAAAACATTCAAGTTYCTCATAATATTTAATACGTGTAATACATACGATTAATATTCTAAAGTAAAAAAAAAAAATTATAATAATAAAAAAAAAAAAAACAAAGTTCACTGACCCATAATTTCTAAAGTATAGTAAATAATTATTTATTATCATTCGATCATTAAATTATGTTAGTTTTAGATGATATACGATACCTAACTAATGATGGGGGATATCTTAGTTATAAGTAAATTTTATAATTTGAAAAATGTTATATTATATTATAGTATATATGTAAATATGTTCGGTTTTGCAATGTTGCTTAAAGTTTTTATGCTAAATCCGGTTGTTTGTGGTATTTGCACTCGTTTTGTTTCTTCGAACGACTAAAATAATAATAAAGAGAACGTTGTTATTATATATGGACTAATCAACTAAAATTAATTGAAGCGACAAAAAATAATTGTTTGGCAAACAATATCATTTAGGCTGTAAAAGCAAATAAGTAAAATATTTGTACGAACCGCAAGAAATAGAGGATTACACCGATTATGATAACCATCTTTACAACAAATCCAAAGCAAAATATGTATTCGACGACGCGTGGGTCGTGTTTAAGTTGTTCCCATGTGGTCATCTGGTCGCATTGYAGTTTGTCGTCTGGCATACAGATGTCCTTGGTGCATATATAACTGCCTTGCAAAGTACTGCACATTGATTTTGGTTTTTCCGATTGGTTGCAAGAAGCTGAAATGTTTAATAAGTCAGGTCAACCCGTCGATGTATACTACTTAGAATCGTTGGTGATCAGATTAATTGATCAATGTGTACGTGACAATCTCAACAATTAGCTACATGTTGAAAACAATTTCTGCAGTATTTAGGTATTACTCACATTCCAAAACCACGAGTCCGTCGGATCTGCGGCATATGACGTCGGCGTTTGGGGTCAATGCCCAATCGTAGGTCATGCAAGGTGGTATGCGGCAATCACGGGTCTCCCACAAAGGATCGGTACAAGCGGTGGTGCCAGCCGGCGATTGTGAAATTACAGTTCGGGATCTCGTCTCGTAGCCAATAGTCTCCTTCTCGCAATCTCCGTGACAGTGCGACCACTGGCTCCATTCGGACAAAGTACAGCCAGGACCACAGGACACGTAACAGTTCTGCCAGGACAACGGTTTTTGCTGCCCCAAAGAGCCGCAGAAAGTAGACTCGACYGTTTCTCCGTCATTGGTCCTCACGCACGTCACGTTCCTGGTGGTCACACCATGTCCACAAGCGGCTCCCTGTATATCGCGAAACTAATTATTATCCATCGAATAATATTACACCAAACACGATTGTGTGTATTCGGCAAACTACTACGACGAGGCGATGATATTACTTATATATAATATTACATGGCTGGAATAATCGGATATTTGCTAACATCTTCTGGGATGAGGGAGATGGGCTGTAAAATTGTTTTGCAATATTTTGATGATATCAAGTAAAACATATTAAAATACATTTTACCGAACAATGTTTATCGTTTATAAAATCGTAAATATAAATATATAATTATTGTTTATTTTAGGGGATCATAAGCTCATTGCTTAAAACAACTTTCGYGGGATATTAAGTATTTCAATTTCAGCATAATATACAATTTGACTATATTTTAAAATACGTACATGTAGTTGACATGCTGACCACGGGCCAAGTGACCAATTATAACACGGTACGGCTGGACAAGGTTTCCATTGTTCGACGGTCATGGGGCATTGTCTGCCCGTTGCACTCGGGTTCATAGCCGTATAAGCTCTGCGCGACACTCCTTTAAAACCGACGAATCAMAATGATTATTAAAGAGCGCAGTTCGTTTGGAGTTATTTCGATTAACTTTGAGGGGCGCGCGTGGGATGATTATTTACCCCAAGCTTATTGTAATATGCCGTAAGTTATTTTGTGCATCTTATATAGGTATCTTGTTAGTAACTAGTCATTACTTATAATATTTCAACCACAAAAATGTCAAAACACCGTTTTCATTGTTTTTTTACTTTTTAAAATACGAATATTAAACAAGCTATAAAAGTTCACACTACGAGTGTACGCAATAAACTATAATATAGTTCTATGCAMAATATTTAAAAATTATTATTTGGTAAACATTTTTTTTTTTATATTGACTACTATGAAGCTATATTACTAAATATTTGTATTTTGATATTCTTAATAATGGCTGGTATTAATTTTATTTTCAATAGAACCATGGTTATGAGATCTTAACACAAAAATCACGCGTAATTAAGTACTGGCAACTAATAGGCGRACGGTCACAGCGGGAATATAAGGTGTTTTGTAAATTCATGTTTATAGAAACCTAAAAGTAAATAATTTGTAATGATTAATAAATAATCAATATTATTCAATAGAGTAAAAAATTATTTTAAAATAAATATCAATAAATATACTTAGTTTTTGTTATAATAACTACCTATAACACTTGGTACCTACCTAATTAATGAGATTTAGTTCATAAATACTAATTTTCGTTTGAACAGAAAAATGTTTAGACCATTGTGCGMGCAACTAGGTGGTTTGACGCTACACCCTATACGCGTTACTAAAGGTTAATAGATATAAAATATTTATCACTATAACAATCACCTGTGTCGTTGCAAGAGCAAGTCGAATTCCACGGTGACCAGCCTTCAAGAACGCAATCGACTGGACAATCGATATAGCACCATTTGTCTAACGGATTTGGTTTTGGCTGATCGGCACAAAACCTATTAGGGCACGAATAAGCGTAATATTGATAAGTAGATGGTAATATATTAATATATGTGTATAATATAGAAAATATGGGCTCGGAAGTTGTAAGCTATATAACACTGAACATTTTTACTTTTTTSTACTTTAATGAGCACACAAAAGTGCAAAAATTAGAGTTAAACTTTGAAAATATATTATATATTTAAATATTTATGTGAAAGTATGCATTAAAAAGATTTGCATCGTGCTTGAAATAAAAATTACTTTTTTTAGAACTTCCGAGCATCGCTTCGATTAATATAAAGCGAGCGCATTACCGGTCTGAAACAGTTCTACCATCGCTCCTCTCGCAATACACCGCTCCGACGGTCATGCCTTCACCACAAGGACTGCCGCCCAAAGGTAGACATGATACATTTGTTATTGTTTTCCACGAGTATTTAAAGCATGTGAAGTTCAAATGACACGGTTGTGTTTGTATGGCTATTGGACAATTTGCTCCAGTAGGGCTCTGGCTTCTGAGCAATAACCGGGTACGTTGTTGTTCTTGTGACGGTAGGCAATCCTTAAAAAATAATTATTTTTATCACCATCAGATACGTATACCTATTAATAAATGAGCTTGTGTCATATTTAAAGTCAATATACAATATTTTTTTAATCGCTATTAATCGTTAGTTAAAATATGAGTTTTTATTATTTTCAATTTTTGAAAACATAGATGAATAAATAATGTTTAAGTATGACAACATATTATATTTTCTTAATATCGCTTATAATAAACTTTGATTGAACTTTTAATGACAATATTAGTATTCAATAATAAATAGATAGTTCAAATACATTATTTACTTTTGGGCAAAGTGACCAATCTGACCAGCTACTTAACACACAATCTCCAGGGCACGCGATTGTACACAAATTTACTCCATCTGGTCGTGTGGTCCAATCACAATATTCTTCTGATAACTCTATTCCAGTATTTATGTGAATACATCTGTTAAAATAGTTAAATAAAATGAAACATTTGTTAAATGATTAATAATATTATAAATTAAACTTTAATCACATCATGTCAGATTTTTAAATTAAAATTAAAATTAGATAAGTAGGTAAGTTATTAAACTATATAATTATAAAAAATACACATCGAATATTATTTTATCTTAAATAAAAATGTTATGATATTTTAAATCCATTATTTATTTACCGCACTGATCTAAACATTTCTCCTTCACCACAGCCTTTCTGTTTATCTTTATCTGGTAATTTACACTGACTCCATGGTTCGGTAGTCCATTGGAAACTGTTACATGGTGTGTTACAGACTTTTGTTTGTACCGTTTCACCACATGGTCTTCCGCCATTTGCAGCGTTTCGTTCGATCTTTGAATAATACACATTATTTGTATATACTTGAAAAGACTAAAATACCGTTTGTTTTAAAATAACTTACGGTTCTGTAACGGTGATGTATCCCTGGTCCACACAACTTACTACAMACACCCCATTCGTTCCAATCAGACATTTGACAATCAATAGAACATGGTACTAGACATGGTTCTTCTTCGATTCCTGTACTTCCACCACACAACCTATAYAGAATGAAATYTTAAGTAATTTAATAATTATATTATATAATTTTATATACGGCTATACGAGAATCTAATTGTCTCCCTTACGCTGGATCAACCAGATGATTATCCACGTTGTAGCATCCCAACGACCTATATCGCGTGCCAGCTCCACACCCGTCGGTTTCGTTTGTCAAGCAAAACGACCAATCGGAAGTAGGCTGCGGGAAATATTCAGAGCACGGGCATTTCGTTGTTTCAACGAGACGTATTCCTTTACAAGCCGGATGGGATATAGAATCTCCGATAAGCTCTCGGGTTCTGGTACGTAAACCAGAACATGGCTGAGGGCACGATGACCAATGGGACCATTCGGTCATCTGGCACGGTGTTTGGCAAT